ACACACACACACACACACACACACACACACACACACCACTGCAGACACACACACACACACCCCCCACTGCTTGTTAATGTCCTTTTTTCCTATTTCCAGAAAATGGATACCAAGCTCAGGTTTACAACCCAGGAATACCATTCCCTCCCTGTCCCAAATTCTTCCCTTTCCCGTCTTCTCTACTGACTCACCATCCATCCTCCAGCAATATGGGTTACGTGGGGCATGATTATGATCCTTCACATGTCCTGTGAGGGGTGGCTGGTGCCATTGGACAATCCATCTGCAAAGAAACACTCCCTTTCTCCACTTGGCCCATGTTTTTGCCAGCTGCCTATGCCACTGTCTTATATAACCTGGGGCTTTCTGGCTCCTTCTCCAAACAAGGTCCCCAGTGGTCCTACCCAGGGTGATTTAGTCTTCCCACACTGGCTGGAAGGCTCCCAATTCTGGGTGCCCTCCTCCCACACCCCCACCTTCTATTTTCATTGAGAGAGCAGCAGAGATCTGAATGCATGTGTGCGTGTGTGTGAAAGAGAGCACCCCAGACACACTAACCTCAATGACCTTGTCTTGATGATAAGCTGCCAACAGCCCACCTACAATCATAGAGCAATGGTGCTCAAACTTCTGGTCCTGTGGCCAGATGAATGACACAGGTCCAATCCAGGGGATGATCCCAACTTGCTGGATCCATCTGCATGTCAGATCTGGCCATGCACCAGGCCAATCCCACACATGGCCTAATCCCATGCACCAGTCCAAGTCCATGCAGCAGATCCAGCTGCAGAGTGACCCTGTACACTGACCGCACTTCACGCCAGCACAATCTAGCATGCAGGGCTATGTTACCTGTTTATGAGGTCCAGAAATTTGGCACAAGGGGGGCTGCAATTAATGCTGCCACTGCTCCCTCACCACCACCATAGAGACAGGGATTCAGCACTGGCTAGCGATAAATCAAATGGATAATGTATAATAGCTGCTTTGTACTGATAGGTGCTACTGCCTCTAAAGGACACAACGGCTCCATACAGGCATAACATACTTGATACTGTGAACAGATTCTGGAGTTTCTGCTCCAGATAATGTGTTACAGCCTGTGCTTTCAGAGCAGGAGGATCTGCCAGTTCTCCTCACTGACGGCTTGAAAGCACCCGGAGGTCCAGGGTTCTGGCACCTGTGAGGTACCAAGGGGGTCACAGCATTACAGCAAAAGCTTTACACTGGAATCCAGCGGAATTGGGCAGCTGGGTGGAAGGGAGCATTTGAGATCAACTTGCAGGGACAGAAAACAGCCCAGCACTGATACAAGGGTACACTCGGTGGCCTTCTGGCCCCTTTCTCTCTCCTGCCTGTAATTCTACCTACCTAATGCAACCCCTAAGCAATCGACTTGACCATAGTTGGATTTCTGAGTGGAAGATGAGGTTATGGGCTTCAAGCTAGGCATGTGCTTCTGTACCTTACTGAATAGGGGGTCAACATGAGTGAATTGCACAGTTTTAGGGCAACCCACGAGACCCACATTACAAGTTACTGCATGAGTGATTACTGTTACTTGCAAAGCACTTATCCTGTTATTAATGCAACCCCCGGTCTCTCTGCAATTAGCTCTTATCAGCCTTGTGGCTCTCTCCTTCCACCTGGCTAATGTTTACACCAGCTAATTTTTCTTTCTTCTAAGTGCCTGTCTAATTCCTTTTAAAACAGGTTTATGAGTGGCAAGGTCCACTGCAAACACTGTGTACAGAAAAACCAAGTCCTGAGAACTCCCAGAACACCCGCTGGTTTGGGAAACGACTAAAAGAATGGTGGAAACATTACTGACTCCTCCATCAATACACAGGATGCAACAAAAACCATGGGAATAAGGGAAACACATCCTTTTTGCTTTGAAATTCAGGCTGGGTGGGGCAAGGATTTTAGACCATTAAAGCATGAATTAAAAAAAATACTGTAATTTCAATGGGTTCAGCCCCAAATGGACAAAATGGTGAGGGGGCTGGGGGACATGACTTATAAGGAAAGACTGGGAGAACTGGGCTTATTT